CTTCTGCAGCCAGCCTCTAGTGGACACTCCAGGAACTGCAGGATATTTACACTTCAGCATTGGCTTCATTTTTAAACAACGGAGGTTGCAGCTTGAATTGTCGCTGATGGGAGTCGGGATGCGATCCCGGTGGATTGTGTTTGTCCTGTTTTTACTCTCCATGCAGAATGTTGTTCCAGGAGCCACCAAACGTTTATTCAGTACAGCTCGGACTACAAATGTACTACAATGGAAACCAGAAGACTTCACATGATGAAAACCCAGACCCCCGAGTGCAGGTTGAATCTTTGTAAGTAGAATCTGTAACTACGTCTTTAAGCCTGCATTGTTTGCAGAATAAACAAAGTACAGAGCCTGATAAATCGAGCCGCCCTGCCAGGAGGCCGACCTCTGGTTAGACATCAGTTCACAATGAGCAGCGTTTCTGTTGCTCTGTAGGTGTGACGGAGCATGGAGAGCACGATGACTCACGGTTTATTCACACATGCTGATTTCTGCGTTCTTCTGACACATTTAAAGTTTCCACGTTTAGCAGCACGTTTTTGTTTTCTCCACTTTTGTCTCGGAGGGAAATTCCCCCTCAGTCGTCCTCCCACGACACAAACCCCTTCATCTGTGACATTTTCTTTCACGCTGTGATGATCATTTGCATTCACGCCCTTCACCCTCTTGATGTTGTATTTTCTCTCCTCTTGTTGTCTGAATGTTTTTTAACAAAGAGTTTTTGGAATTCCCAGATGTTTGAAGTGGCTTTCGTTTACCATGAAGTCTTTATTTAACACCTGCCTTCAGCTTTCTCATCCTCTTCCTGTTGCTGTTGTTACCTGCTCTGCCTCTTCACATTAAGTGTTTCTGGAGGACTAAACCTCTTCAGGACTGGTTTTTTCTACAGGTGGTCTTCAGTTTTTAAGAGTTTTTAGAGAGGAAGGGCCACATTAAAGAAGAATTAAAGCAGATTTCGAGACTTAAATTGTGATTTGACATGAATTGGGCCGTAATCTTACAAGAATTGCTGTTCTTTGCTGTTCATCTCCTTACACTGGCTCCCAGTTACTGCTCACATCAAATTTAAAACTCTGCTGCTCGCTTACAAAACAGCGACAAAAACGTCTCCTCCTTACTTTAACTCTCTGATCCAGGTCTACACTCCCTCCCGCCCACTACACTTTGCCAATGAAAGGCGTCTGATCCAACCTTCACAACAGGGTCCTAAGACGCTGACTAGACTCTTCTCCTCTGTCGCCCCCCCGGTGGTGAATGTAGAATTGTAGAATAATGAAGTTGGAATATTACTAAATTAAAGCCATGATATTAGAAGAATTAAGTCATGTGGGCGCTGTTAGCCTAGCGGTTACTGCGCTCGCCCCATGTACAGACGCTAAAGTCCTCGAGAGTGGGCCGCTCGGGTTTGAATCCAACCTGTGGCTCCATTCCTGCATATCTCTCTCTCTCTCCACAGCTTCCCATCAATCAATATTTATCTGTATAGCACCAATTCATAACGAGTGTTATCTGGAGACGCTTTACAAAAGAGCATATGGGAGAAGATGCAGGAAGAACTTTTACATCGGCTTCGTTCTTCAACATCGGAGGTTGCACCATAGTTTAAACACATTTTAAAAGGGGGGGGGGGCGCTTCTTTCTTGTAGCCCAAACACCCCGTGGTTAGTTTTAGTACCACCGGGACCTTAAGGAGGTTTACATGTTGGATTTAGGAAGAAAGATAATGTATGCATAGTTCCTCTGCATGTAACTACGAACGGTTAAATGTAACATCTGTACAGTGTCCTCACGCCGCCCTCTGTCCCACTCTTAACCACACCAGCAGAAAGTCCATGTGTTAAATAAAGTGTGGAAAGTGAGCGCTCGGCTGCTCCGTGGTCTGCAGCTGTTTGTGATGGTGGTCTGCAGACAGAACAGTTTCTCTTTCCGCTCAGCGTGGGAGGAAGTTGACGCTAGGGAAACCCTGCAGCAGACGCAATGAGTGAGAGGGGGGGATGGGTGGAGAGTGGGTGGGTGGTGTAAGAGGGGGAGACCGTCATGGTGTCCCATGGGGGCTCAGCAGGATGGGTAGGGGGAGTACAGGTCTGAACCTCACTGAGGAAAGTTTGAATTACGATAATAGATGTTTGAACGGAGTTTGTTTCCTGCACAGTGAGATTCTTCTTTTGATTATTTAGACTTCAGAAGCAAAGAGAGCTTGTGGAATGCAGCATATTCAACTGAACACATGCTGACTCACCGAGAGAGCAACAAGTGACTGACACATATCACACAAGTTAAACGACACATATAATGAAAAATCCACTTGTACAGTGTTTTTGAACATATATTTGGGTAACCTGAGAGTCTACTGACTCATTGCATTTAAAGAGACACACATCAAAACGGAGCGTTCTGAGAGAGCTGGTTTATACAGGGTCACAAACCTCCTCTGGTGCTTGATTCATGTTAAACATTCAGTCCTTACAGTGTAAAAGAGAAATGAGCTCTAGAGACTCAAACTGTTTTTGTAGCAGGCTGTAAACATGTTTATTTAAACATGGGGCGCTATGGAGACTGACTCACTGCAGGAGACAGACTCTAGTGGACACAACAGGAACTGCAGTTTTTGGCTTCATTCATCACATTTTGCAACTGTATTTTTATTGGCTGAGAAATTTGTTATTAGATTGGTGTCATCTTTCTTGATGAGAATAATTAAGTATCATCTGCATAACGGTGAATATTTTGTTAGTGTTTATGTTACCTTTAAGAAGCATTTATTGGGTTAATAAGCACTCAAAACTAAATTGTTTCAGAGACACAGAAAACATGTAACAGAAATCAAAGGCTGCCAGGGAGGCCTTAACAGGTAACGCTAAAGGCTGAGGTATAGCAACGAAACCACCTGGCACCCCAAATTATACAGAGTAAATTACACAGAATCTTCTCTGTGTTCATGCACCCAAATCCACAGCGATGGAAGCCACAGGCAGAACCTCTCACTACCCCTGAAGGTGAGATCATGAGTCAACACAGAGGACAGGAGACCCAGAGTTTATATAAGCTCCCCACACCTGGTCTTAATCAAAGCCAATCAGCCGACCTCAGTGAGAAGCAGAGAGAGAGAGAGAGAGAGAGAGAGAGCCCTCACAGCTGAGCCTCTACAATCACCTGTGGATGGACACCTGGGACTGTTATCGCAACCGCATACTACATACTACTATCTAAATCAGTCTGCATTATAAACTGTATACTGAGTTCAACAGTAGTATGTAGTATGACTGCCAGTCGGAGGTAATTAACAAAATTAAAATAAAACAAGTCTACAATCTCTCAAATATTCATTTATACACAACGCCCTGGGTTGAAATATGATTGGCATGCTATTAAAGTTGTAGTATACTTTACAGACATTCAGGTTGAACTTTTACTCAGCTGTGAATAATATGAAGAGCAGCCGAGGCCATATAACTGCAGCTGCTGGTCCAGCTGTGACACATTCACTGTACAGTCTACAAAGCAGGAAAATAAATATATGAACATGTCATATTTGTTATTGGTTCATAATGTGGCAAGATATTCCCACCGACGAGTTCAAACAGCTGCGCTCCGGCATTTTGATCTCTGACCTGTCGCTTTGCATTGTGGGAAACAGTACGCGAGGTAGACTGGTCCGATGCATACTGTACATGTTTCCTGAATCAGTATGACATCCTGGTATTTTTGGCATACTGCGGATCTCGCAGTTGTTCACATACTGCATACTGCGTACTGCATTTTGGCCAAATCAGTATGTACTAGTAGTATAGTACGCGGTTTCGATAACAGCCTCTGTCTTGGTCTGTCCATGGACACCAGACGCTCCCCCAAATCCTGAAGTTCCCTTTTTTAAAAGAGTTTTTCTGATTTTGGACCAAAACTTGGTGACGGCAGAAACAGGAAATCCTTCAGTCCTCACTCATAGCTGACCGACCGTCCTGGATAATCTGAATAGTCTGTGCATGACTCAGCAGAGAGTCACAGCGACTCATCAGGATTTTTCTCTTTTCTTTTGGTTTGTGGTCAAGAGAGTAATGTGTTAAATATTAGAGGTGTGTAATCCTTGGGAGGAAAATGCTCCTTAACAAAGTCTTTTGTCCCTGACAGGCTCCAGTTTTAGTCTAAGTTTCTGACATTATTACAGAAATGATACTCACAGAGAAACCTTTTTGTTACAGAGGAAGGTGATTTTTCTTGTCTCACAATAACAGACAGTAGGGATGGTTAAATCCCAGTTTTTATGAATGTGGTGTGTTCTCCAGTATGTTCTTCAAAACGCTTTTGTCAAAATGGTGATTCTATTGAACTACACATAGCGTTGATATAAAGACAAATGTTCTAACTAGTGGGTTGGAATATTCAGAATTCTGGTAAAATCCCATCTAACACCTAGTGTTTAAAATGGGTACTGCAGTCTAAATTCTAAACATCATAGAGAGCTTCCCCCCGCCCAGGTCACCATGTGGTGGACTCTGAAGCTTCAGTGTTTATCCAGCTCTGCATGGGTCTGTAAACCTTTCTGTGTTCTAACCTCTCTCCATTTTTCAAAAGCATCTCCAATATTGATCCTAGTTTGAGCACGTTTCTGCTCGTGGAGCTTATTAGAAACATGCAGAGGCTTTTTAGGTCGGGTACAATCACTTCTATCTGAACCACTTCTCTTGACCGCTTCCATCACTGCAACACCTGTTGACCTGATAACTGCTCTCATATCTGGCAAACCGAGAGGCGTCCAAAACGACCGTTTGGGGCGCCTTAAAAGCGCCTACCTTCTCTGGTCCAAACAAATCCAGAGCATTCAGGAGCAGAATCTAAAGTTAGAAGGAGGACATACTGGCTGCTGCATTGTTGTCAGAGAAGCCAGCACTTCAACATAGCATGTTTCCTTAATGATCAGATAGTAAGATACCTTTATCATCTCACTCTCTACACATCTCACTGATTGGACCTTCAAAGAAACAAGTTTAACGCCACGCTGGTTTTGACCTCCGGTGCATGAAGGGATTTTATTGACAGAGTTTGAACACTCCTGGAGCCCCACAAAAAATACAAAAATAAAACAAATGTTTACAAAATAAAATAAAGAATTCATGCTTCATTAATTAATTTAATCATTTTGATTAAATTATATTAAATTATTCTGCATCATGAGTATTTCCAGCAGGCAGTTCATCATAATTATGAAGTTGTAAAGAATAAAATAATTCACACGCAGACACAGCTCGACAGGTAACAAAAAGGGCAGTGCATTATGGTCCTTGTAGTTCCGACGTCATTATTTCCGATGTTTGATTCTTTCATATTTCATAATTGCTCAGATATTCAATCTAGTTCTTCGGACATTAAAAGGTGACTTTAGTGGTTTATAAATAATCTGATGTTTTTTTCTTTTAAGTCCTCAGCTGCTTCAGTCTGTGTCTCAGCTCTCGACTCCGCCTCCTTAGCTCCTCCTTCGTTGTCAGCAGCCTCCTCTCGTGCTCTCTGACCTCCTCGATGTACTCCGTCGCCTTTTTCAGGATCACCACCTTGGCCGCTCGGTCGTTCTTCTCCAGTGCCGGGATCTCGTCCCGCAGAGCCAGGAAGCTCATCTTCAGCTCGTTCCTGCGCTGCCTCTCCAGCACGTTGTGAGTCCTGCGTTTGTCCACATTGTCCTCGCCGTCCGAACGGGGACTCCAGCACCTGCGTCCGCTGTCGCTCTGCCTCAGTGTCTGGCAGACGCTCTGGGGCTTGAACCGTTTCCCCGCAGGCTGCTGGGCGGACGCAGACGGCTGCTGGGCGGCGTAGTTGTGCTGGTGGACGTTGATGTGAGAGCGTTTAAGAACCGCCGGGGAGCTGCTCGCCCTGCTGCTGTTATCTGACCGCTGAGACACGTTTCTCCTGTCCACCGTCACCACGTCGATCTCTACATCCTCCTCAGCTTCCTGTTCCTCCTCCTCCTCTTCTTCTTCTTCTTCTTCTTCTGGGGAAAAATAAAAGATTATTTCAGTTATTGCAACACTTTCTCCAGGTTTAAGCTACAAGGAGGGCCAATTGAGTTAAGTTAACTTTGTCACAAGCATGCCGCTTACCTGATTCGCTGTCGCTGCTGCTGAGAGGCGGCGAGTCCAGACACAGTTCTGACACCACCTCCATCGCCCCTCCGTCCTCGCTCAGGCCACTCAGCGTGGTGCACGGAAACACCACAGAGGGGTCGATGCAGTCTGTGGACGCAGCGTGGAGGTCCTTCAGGTACCCCGTGGTCACCCTGGAGCTGCACACCTGCTGACCAGCTGCAGCACTGTCTGTGCTGTTGGCCGCGGAGGAGTCCCGGCGGGCACGCAGCGAGCTAGCCTTTCGGACACCACCCTCTCCAGCTTGGTGGCGGCGGCGAAGCTGCTGCTCCACATGCAGTCCTGGATGATGAAGGACTGGAGGAGCGCCGCGGAGGGGTTGCAGTCCTCATCCAGCAGGTCAGTCACCGCCTCCAGGTGCTCTGCGGCGGACAGCGGGACATCGGGCAGCGAGGGTCTCCGACTGGGCGACAGAGGAGGCGTCGGCAGCAGCTCGAACTTCTTCCAGATGTCCTCGTCAGGGCCCGGGAGGAACTGTCTGCAAGGAGGCAGGTAGAAGTCCTCCTCCTCGCCATCCAACAGGAAGTAGGGCTGCACCGTGTCATAGTCATAATCATAGTTCGTGCTGTGCATGGTTAACACCGGCGGCATCAGGCTGCCTGAGAGGGGACAAAACATGAGATTAGGCTTTGCAGGGCTCCCCAAAAATCTCTGAAATGACTTTTTTTTTTTGAAGCCTCCTTTTAGATAAACACAGAACGATGTGGTTTTAATTATTTGGACGACAAAATGATACGTGCACATTTAACAGATCTCTGTCACAATTAAATTTTAAAGCATGTTAAAATCCATCAAACGCAGATTTTTAACTAGGAATTCTGATAACAAACAAACAAACAAACAAACAAACACAAAGTGACTGTTACCCAGGCGGAGCTGTTTAAATACTCAAGTATCGGTTATTGAGGTGTAATAAGGTATAACGTGTCCTGTGACGCACAAGAGGCGACGTAGAAATAAAAAAGTGCCGTAGTCATGCCAAAACTAATGCAAGAAACTGAACATTAAGGGTTATTCTGTTGATAGATCACGTCTAAAATAAAAGAATATGAATAAAATGCCACAATTAATTATCAGTAGAGGGCGCTTGTCAATTCGGCATAATAATAACCTACTTATCCTGCAGGTACAACTCTAAAATTAGTGCAAAGCTCCTATCAGTGTCTTACTCAGTCACGAAGGACCGCACACTCCGCACAATTAAACTGTCAAATAAAGAAATAAAGGTTTATTTAAAAGCTTTAACCTAAAGCTAAAGACACAAAGGGTCACAAACAGTTAAAGGTGATCACAGAGGTACAATTCGGCATAGTTTCTGGAGTGATTAAGAGAGAAATGTCCCGAGGAGAAGCAAAAAGTCGAGGCACCAGTCCCCACTTTGAAACTACGCAACTCTTTAAACCATGAAATTAAATCTTAAAGTTAAAGCTAAAGAGACACACGTTAACCGACAGTTAAACGTAATCACAGGGGTAAATTCGGCATAGGTTGTGGAGTGATTTGGAGTGAAATGTCCCGAGGAGAAGCAAAAAGAGAAGAAACAAATATTGACTGATTACGTGAATCCACGCAGCAGACACACTGACAGCCACCAGTCCCCACTGTGGAACTAAACAACTCGATCTTTAAACTGTGAATTTACAGCTTTACGATAAAGGTAGAGTATGACAGTTTCACAGACAGTTTGAAATAATCACAGGGGAAAATTCGGCATAGTTTTTGGAGAGATTTAGAGAGAAATGTCCCGAGGAGAAGCAAAGTAAAGTCGATGCACCGTTAGATGTCATCACAACTTACCGTTATGACTCCCGGAGAGGCGGTAAAGTTACGTACGGTTAATCCAACGGAACACAATAAAAGTTGTGTGGATAAATAATAACACCGACAAAGAAAGCTAAAGTGGTACTACACTGTGCCGTGCTGCCTCCTCGGAGTGAATCACCAACACCGGCTGCTCTCTGGACATTTAATACTCCTGCTCCTGCCTCTTTTTGTTTTTTTGTCTTCATCCGCGCAAATGTCAATTTTGGCGCCAAATGTGCGCTACGTAGTAAACATAAACGACTCGCGAGCGTGTCAAAAACAGTCTTATAAATTAGCAAAACACTTTATTTGTAATAACGAGTCATTTCTATGAATTATTTGTGTTGAATATGAGGAATAAGAAGCATTTAACGCGGGACTGCTTTGTCTCGCGGATGTGGATGGAAAAAGGTGGTCCGCGCTAACAGTAAATGATGCAGGGCACTACTTTCCGGGAATACTGCTCTGATTCAGTGATGATATCCTGAAAAAACAAAAACAAAAACAAAACAAAAACAGCAATTAAAATAAAAACAACAATAACAATTGTAAAAAACAACAACAGAGGGATTTGAAGTAAAACAGCTATTTATTATGAAAAATGAAACTAATACTTAAGGGAAAAATTAATCAGATTAAAATCAAAATCAAAATCAAACTATTTCAAATTCAAAGATTTGGGAAAACATAAGAATTGATGAGGAAACAAATAAAAACATTAAGAGAAAAGCTAAAATGATGACATCCATTACTTACACGTGTAATTTTGCTAAAACTCATCGTTAATAATTACAAAGCACATCATCAAGTATTCATATTTTGCCTGTTTAATGCTATCAGGTGTTTATTGTTTGGTCACATGATATAACGCTCCATTAATACCTTAATGTTTCTTTTGCCTGTCTGTCGAAGCACTTTGTACACCTGAGTTTGTTAAAGGTGCGATATAAATAAAGTTATTATCATCTTTGATGATCAATTAATTAAGTTTAATCAAACTTTTATTCTGAAAGACACATGAGGATAAACTCTCCATGACTCACTGACTGTATCACTGATGTAATGTGTGTGTACATGAGCGTCTTCACCCATCTGTACAAGCTGCTGTCACCATGACACTGCTGCCCCCTGTTGGCCACAGCGACTCCCTACAATCTAGCTCTTATTTTTGAGTTTTCCTATTTGAACTCACCCAGAGGTGAACATGAATTATTCCTACAATGCATAAAAGTATATATCAAAGTATGGAACGTAGATGAATTGCATTATTGCATTTATGCTGCAGTTAATAACAATGATAATAAATGTATTTATATAGAGCTTTAAATCAAAGTAATGTACATAGCTCCTTTAAAAAGACATTTTTAAACATTTGAAAAGCTAAAAACTAAAAACACACAGAGACAAAGAACATCAGGGAAACATAAAGTCAACTCATGACTAATAGGCAACAGTAAACAAAGGGGTCTCTGAAAATCCTCCTTCTTCAGCCTGACGGCTTCCTTCATTGCTGGTGTCCACCAGTGCAGAGGCGCAAACATGAAGACTAAATAAGTTTCAGAGTTTAAACACAGAAATGAACCCAATGTCCCTGAAATTACTTCTGTCTATTTCAGTTTACACAATTTAGCGGTGGATCCAAAATAATTATAAATAATCCCAAATCCAGCATGTAGAGGCTGAGTGAATGTGGTCTGGACTCTGTGATCCAGGTACACCCCTACTCTCAAGGATGGAGGACCTGAGACAGGAGTGCTGACTCTGTTGTAACAAAAGTCATAACTGTTGTCTTTGCGATATAAAGCCCAAGATTTGTCATTGTATCCAAACAAACATTCAACTGGTCCCCCTGCTCTGCTGATATTCTTATATGCAACTGCTACATAAACTCCTTCTGGTCCTCTCCTCTCCACCTCCCAGTAACAACGTCCAGTCAGACTCTCTTTACTCAGGACCTGACAGTAATCAGTGAATCTGTCTGGGTGACTAGAATACGACTGATGTTCACTCAATACTGTTACTTTTCTGTTCCCATCAGACAATAACAGCTGTGTGTGTGCTGTGTTTGGATCCAGTGTGATGTCACTTGAGTATTCTAAGAACTCAGCTCTGGTCTTGGGCTCTGGTTGTGTGTCCTGGATTCTCTGCTGGATGTTTTGTCAACTCACCTCAAGCTCTCTCTGCTTCTCGGTCCTTTCTGCTGCAGCTGAGACTGTGTCGTGACCTTTATGTTGGTCCATTAAACAGAGATAAGAGATAGACTTCTGATCAGTACGACAAAATAGCTTCATTACCTCATCATGATGAGAGCAGACGTTCTCCTGGAGCTTCTTGGAGGGCTCCACCAGCTTGTGTTTCTTTAATGGAGCTGCTTCTAAATGAGGCTGGAGGTGTTTCTCACAGTAAGATGCCAGACACTGCAGACAGGACTTACAGGCTTTCAGTTTTCTCCCGGTGCAGACATAACAGGCCACATCTTCAGATCTAGCATAGCAGTGATCAGCAGGAGCAGCTTGGAGTCCAGTCTTCTTCAGCTCCTCCACTAAATCTGCTAACATGGTGTTTTTCCTCAGGACAGGCCTCAGTATGAAGTCCTGTCTGCACTGAGGGCAGCTGTAGACTCTCTTCTCATCCTCTGTATCCCAATGGCTTTTAATGCACTTCATGCAGTAGCTGTGTCCACAGGAAGTAGTCACTGGATCCTTCAGTAGATCCAGACAGATTGAACAGCAGAATTTCTCCCGGTGCAGCAGTTGGTTTCCTCGCTGAGCCATTTCTCCACTTAGTGATCGTGAAGGTCAAATAGTTCCTCTTTCTCTGGATAGAAATACAGTCAGAGCTTTGATGGACAACAACTGACACAGTATATAGTTCACACCCATCCACATACCTGCAGGTCTGTGATGGGGAGGGAAGAGAGGAATGTTTTCCCCAGGTGGAGATCAGGTTTTAGATGCGTTCCTCAAAGAGCAGGTTTTGTATAAACAACAAACAGTAATAATAGTTGGCCTCAAGTTTTGTCTCTGTGGCTAATATACTTACTTTGCCAAGTAGCTCATACAACCCCACAAAAATGATGCCTTAACTATCCCTTAAATCTAAGAGAAGGCTCTCTCCATCAGGTAAAAATCTCTTCTTTGCCCCTCCCCCCATCATGAGCCTTTCCCCCCCTGATTCTCTGTAAGTACGGATGCAGGTCATTTATAAGGACAGGATTTATCAAACAGGGTTTATCCAAAGTGATACCTTTCATCAGAGTTCCTGTTTATCTACATTATAGGGACCGTGTTCTTGTTTACCTACCTTACGGAGACCATGTTCCTTTTTACCTACCTTACAGGGACCATGTTCTTATTTACTGCTCGAGCATAATTGGACGGGTAAGCAACATAATTCCAATCAGATTTTTTTTTTAAAGTGTTTATCCCAAGAAAAGGATGTCTCCCTCTGCTTTTCCTCTACTCCCATTATGAGCCGGGTTTTCCATGTTTTTCTAGTTCCTTTCTCCATCAAGGATCTTCTCAGACAGGGTTTATGTAAGTTTATGTCCCCATAAATCGTCTATACCTCTTGGGGGACTCTCCACTTGTCCCTATCTCCTTTCATTGGGCTTTTCTTTTAGACAAGTATGACTCCAAAATGCACCAACCATTTCCCAACATTATGTGGACCATGGCTCACTACTCCCATTATCCTTTCTTGGGTCTTATCAGGAGGAGTTTATTTCCCCAGAGAAAGCGCTCTCCCTTGTGGGCAGACTTTCTGCACATCCCCATCTACCTGTTATTTAGCTTTTTAAATATATTTTTTGTTCATACAAGCGTCTCATGGTGACATTTGTTTGCATACCAACCTAACATGGAGAGTTTATCTAGATTTGTTTCCCAGGAGAAGGATCTTTCCCTTGGGGATGGCCCTCATCTTACCTCTTTAATACCATACATGTTTTCTCTGTGCTTTTACACCACAGGTCGCACCTACACATTCAAACACTGATGGTAGAGGCTGCTGTGTAAAGAGTCCATCAGAATTAACCACTCCATTCATAGACATGCATACGCTGTTGACGAAGCAGAGGGAGCAACTTTGGGTTAAGTATCTTGCCGAAAACACATCGGACATGTGGCTGCAGGAGCTGGGGATCAAACCCCTGACCTTCAGTTTGAGAGACGACGACCCTATCAACTGATCCACTATATTGCACAATATTGACTGATTTCAGGAATAAAATCTTTATCCTTACAAATAATGGAAAGCTAAATCTTCCCACTTCCAATAATGTAGAAACAGGAATATGAAACTTTGAGATACAAACAGTAGTGACGCAATGTGTTGCTGCAGCCACTAGAGGTCAGCAGCTTTAATCTTTACAGACAGGAGTACAGCCATGGACTCTGTATGAGCTGATAATATAGGAAACATCATCATAGTTTATCATATAACGATCATATGTATGACTTGTGGTTTTGTCCTGAAAAAAGGTTATTCATGACAGAACAAACGTGTGTGATGTTGCCAGTTTGTTAGTTTGTTCAAACTTTGTTGATTTTTTATCTTTTTTTTAACTTTTAACTAATGTAAAGTGTCTGTAAGTACTTGAAAGCTCTTTATGAATTAAATTTATTATCATTTTTTGTTTTTTAACAAGCCAATGAATTAGTTAATGAACCAACAAATGAACATATACATTTTAGCTGTCGACACATTATCACTCAGGTGCGTCTCCTTTACTGAATAAATATACACAAACTCTGAGAACATTGCCTCAAGGTGGGTGGACACTGTTGGTCTTCAGTTCATGTGAAGGGAATTCCCCCCTTCTGACCAAATTCAGCAAAAGCCTGATTATCTGACAGTTCCAAAGATTATCTCACCAGATGTTCCTGTGGTGTAAAGTGTGTAATTTTAACCCCACTGCCCCGATTTGAAATTGTCAGACATCCTGTTGTGTGGGGAGAACACCGAGGATGGCCGAGCATGGACTCTGTGGGTTGTCACTTTAAACAGAATAGCCAATCAGGAAGCAAGCTGACTGAAGCCAGAAGCAAAACAAACATAACCATGGCGACGACAGCAAACACAAAGCATAAAGTTAGATGGATGTCATAAATGGAGGAGCAACTTGTTGATTTGTTGCAACAACACAAGTGTTTACACAACGTGTCTGTAAAACAAAGCACAATCCAACTGACAAGGACAGGAGTACCAGCTAACAGCTAGCCACATTTAGCTTGACCATCATGTTTGTTTACTCTTAAATCGCGTTCGACCGTGGAAGATGACGAGTTCTGAGAGTGGAGACTGTTAAAAGACAATACAAGTTATTCTGATTCAGTTGCTGATTGTCAATGCCCCCAAACTTAACAACAATAGCAGGAGGTTAAGCCCGGTGATGTACTTTTAAATAATCTGCTTGACTTATTTTCAATTTTGTTAAATATTTGTGAACTACAGGAGTAAGAACATAAACCATAAGATTGAGGTATTAGACTTCTTAGACAACATTTTGGACTGCTGATAAAAGCTGTAAATGGAATAAAATGATCAAGGTAGCCCACCCTGCAGTACGTTCATTTATGTACAAAAAACAGTGTCATCAGCATAGAGCTTTACTTTTTCACAAACAAGCTTCTTTAATAAAAACTACAAAACACTACGGCACATAACATCAGAAGACAATCAGTCAGCAGCTTCACCTTGCACTGAGACTGAAAGAACACTGACAGACAAAAAGACATGGCTTAAGCTTTACAAATACAGTAATTTCATCCAAGGATAATTGACCCCATAAAAAAAATATTCCATCAGGCCCCACTACTTCAGTGTTTGAAATCTTATCTTTAAAAATTACAGAATCAATTTCTTATTTCCCTGCAGTTGAACATGTCATGAAACGCAACGCAGCTCACCTCCTTCTCCCGCGTCCTGTAAGGCTGGTTTGGCTGTGGGTGCCTGGGCTGCTGAGCTTGAAGCTGGATCTGTTTGGCACAAGGCAGGAGCAGGAAAAAAGATTAAGAACAGATAGCTGCTAAAATGTTTAGCTGCTTTGATAAACAGTCGGTGTAAATAAGAGAGAAACACAGAAGAATAAATTAAGTAACACATTTTTGTGTCATTAAATTTGTCTTTGCTTTCAGGTTAATTTCCAACACCAAACCACACCGAGCTTTCTTTAGCCTCTTTCACACACACTCCAGAAAATATCTAGAAAATTTCAGGACAGTCTGCCCCTGAGTTGTTTCTTCAAACATGCACCTCACAGTGGGAGACTATCCCTGTCGGACCAGAGGGAGGGTGTCAGAGGCAGGACGTGTTGTAAAATGGCAGACAGCAACAGAGTCTGATGTAATGGCACATTGGTTTAATTAAATCAACTCTGTCTTTCACTTACCTAGAATGGCTTATTCACGCCTTTGTCTTTATACGTTTGGACTACTGCAACGCTCTTTTCACTTCACGCCTCAGTCAGTCCTCGATGGCTAGACTCCAGCAAGTGCAGAATGCTGCTGCCTAGATTTAAACCAAATCGCAGGTTCCACATTACCCCAATCCTTTCCCCCCTCCATTGGCTGCCCGTTACATACAGGATTGATTCTAAGATTATTTTAATGACTTTTAAAAAACAACAGGGTCTGCCCCCCTTACATTACAGAACGTTTGACTCCTTATGCTCCAAACCGAGATCTCAGATCATCAAGAGCACCTTTATTCATCGTTCCTAGGTCAAGGCTGGTAACAAAGGGCGACTAGGCATTTGCCATCAGAGCCCCTAAGCTCTGGACCTCTCTACCTAAAGACATTAGGCTGGCAAACTCCTGTAACTGTTGTTAAATGTTTGCTTTAAAAAACATTTTTATACAAAGGCCTTTTTTTAAGAATTGAGTAGAAACTAATGTCCTGCTTTAATTAATTTAATAAAGTCTTATTCATAATTTCTTTGCTCACCAATGTTTAATCCTGTGTATTTTGTGAAGCACTTATATATAAAAATATAAAAAATAAAAAAATTATATATATGTATGAATTAAATATTTTATTTTTCATTGTCTGCATTCTGTAAAGGACTTTGTAACCTTGTTTAGATAAGTGTGATATAAATAAAGTTATCATTATGATGACAGTTGTTACTTTTTTATCAACACTACTTGTAGTTCAACATGTCCACCTGCTCAATTGTAATGAATTGTCCTGAATATTTCTTGCTGTATTTACACGTTGTCTCACCCGACTTCTTCAGAAAACTCTCTCGGAGGCTAGCAGGAGATAATCTGTGTTAAATCGTGGTGAAAAAAACCCTAGCCGTGTGTGCTCACCAATGCAGCTCAACCCAAATGTTCCAGCCTGCACCTAAGACAGATTCGTCCTCACTTTTCTCCCCGAAACAGCTCCCCTTGGAAGCATCTAAATAAAAATTAAATCGGCCCTAAAACGGAACCCTGTGGTACACCAGAGGTAATGTAAGTAGAGGGAAACGAGTAATACCGTATGTTGACTGAGTTGTTTTTTTCTCAAAGGTCAGTCTAAACAGATTTTGATCTTACTGTCAGTCGGCTGCAGAGTTGGCAGGTCTGTCGGCTCTCTCTCTGGAGGACTGGAGGTCGTAGGATTTGTGACCTCTGTCAAACAGAAGCAGTTAAAAATAAACGTCAGTCCTCTGCTCCATCGTCTTCACATGAAGCTGAATCACTGCTGAATGCAGACACCAGCCCTTCATTACCTATTTCTGTTTGAGCATTCACTGTGCCCCTCTGATGCTGTACTGAGCAGAGGTATT